TTATGGGAGTGGCTCGACCAACATCTGCAATTTCAGGTATAGTGGGAACCATATGGATCGCATGTTTACAATTTGTTCATTTTGTTGAGAAGGATGGTGCTCTCTTTATATAATTGATCGGATGTAGTGTGAAGTTCTTCGAATTGGTATAAACATGCAGAATAAAAGACGGTAGGTTTTAGATTGAATAGCACTTACGGAGCAAGCAGGATCTCGCGACTTCTTCGGAATATGTCTGCCATGTTCGCAGGCTTGTAAAAACGAAGTTATTGATCTTGAAGCGAAGTGCAGCGGCAAGAAGATCAACATCATCTTCCCATCGCCTTCTATCCATAGCCTGCGATGCAAGACTGCGTTTACAACGCAACATATCGTCGATGCGATTGTATGTTGATAAGCTCATGAATACACCTGAAATGTACGAAATATGCGGCTTCAAAGGAGCAGCAAGAATCTGTGAATATTTATCGTACTTATGAGTGCGTTAGGATGTTTGTAGTTGCTGAATGTTTCCTTGATATAATTGGGCAGGTGATTAGGGAAAACTCGTGATGAACGCCGTCAAAGCCGATCGGATTCGTTCGTAGTGTTCTTCGCTGCCCGTGATGCAGTATGCAATTGATCTGAAAGCCTCAAATGAAAGGAGCACCTTTGCTGCTCATGTCTGATTTATAAAAAGCACTTGTACTGTGCGATTCTCTCTTGTAAAATTTGCTTGTATTGATTAGCTATCACAGGTTAAGAAGAAAGATACCATCTCGTTTATCATGAAATTGTTTTGCAATTTGGCTCCTGTTACCAACCCCAAACGGACGTCGTGTCATGAGTCTTGTTCGGGAAGGAACCGTCGATTGGTTCTGGATCAGCTACGGACATTGCGGGAAGTGCTCCGTTAGCTATTGTCGAACTGCTACCTGCATTGCAAGTAATTATTTCATTTAAGTGCATCTATTATTTGCAGTTGTTTTTAGTGTATTTCATTGAGCTGCTTGAACTTATTGAAAGATATGCAATTATCTTCTCGTAATAAAATTAGTGGAATCTATATTTTCGAAGAATAAATCCTGTTGCAGAGCTATTCCATACTAATGGGTCAGCTTGGTTGGGACTCGGCGCGTGAACATATGGAATCGTTCAAAGGTAAACGTATACCTATAACTACGAGCACTGAAGATTGTGCCTGTCATTTGCTAGTCTCAACTTGTGTGCAGGTGAGAAATTGACGAATCTAATTATTATCGTGAGTTTTTATTTAATCCCTTTTAGTCTTATTACTTATCGCATTTTGTTTTCGTATTGAATATTTTAATATTTATCCGTACGTTGTCACGAATCATCTTTGCAAACCGATATGAAAATTTATGATCGATTCAACTTTTCGATTTGATGTTTTAGTTGACGCAAATGGAGAAGACGTATTTCTCATTGAATTTTATGTTACCAAAGGCATTCTTCCGAAAAGAGAACACTCTACTTCTTTCATACAATCAGATCAAGTGAGCTTCATTATTTGTCTGAATTTTGCGACGGACCTTCTCAGCGTTCAATCAATATTGCGCAGATCTAGCAAACCCCTGTAAATTGAAGAATCTTATG